GAATAAAAAAATACAAAGTGTGGACTTCTGGATGCCTGACGGTTGTCACGCCCCTGTGACGGGCGTAACACCCCACAACATAAGGAAACGGTCGTCACGCCCCTGTGACGAGCGTAAGACACCACTTCAGCGTGTGACGACCGTCACCCACCTGTGACGACCGTCACGCGCGTGAAGGAGGACGTTGCGCATAATTGAAGACGTGGGCGTGAAGGGAAGACTACTTCTCCCGATTTCCACTGAATCTCCTATTTTATTGCCACAACTACTACTCCTCCTAGAATTTCTCCACGAAGACTTCCTCAAGAATTCAAAATTAAAACTGTTGATTTTTCCTGCTATATATATGAGTACCAAGGCACAGTCCAGGGGTCGAAGAATTTTCTACTCAGCAAATACTTATTTTATTTTTACAGTTATTTCCAAATTATTTTGTTTTGCAATTCTGCTTTCAATTCCCTGTAATTTTCATTCAAGCCTTAGTTTCTATTTTTAAGTGTTAATTCTTCTTACAAGAATTAACACGAATTTCTACTGCAAGTCAAGCTTGAAGATTTGGATTACTGTATTACCTCAAGATTACTATAGCATCTGTAATTCCAGGTTTTTTATATTGCAATTATTATTTATTCGTTTTCTATAATATGCCAATTATTGCCATGAATTGTATTTTGAACTTATTTACTGTTAAGTTAATTATGTCTGGCTAAATTATTAATACCGGTATGTGACCGTAAGAACTGAAAGAATTCAATAAGACCTTGGCCAAAAACATTTATAAAACAATTTCTGGTTTCCAATTTCCAATATTAATTTAACTATCCTTGTCACGAGAGTGAGAGGTTAATTAACACGATTTTGCCACGAGAGTGGGAAATTAATTAAGGCAAGAACCTGCATGCGAGAGCTGGGGTTCAACCCAGCTAGTGGTAACGAAGCATTGATTTTTAAATACACGAGAGTGTTTTAATAAATTAATTAAATTCAAATTGTTTTCAAAAAGTGTTATTAAATTTAAAGTGCATCCACTAGGTTTAGTAGCATGACTTATTTCATAAACACGAGAGTGTATGTCTCAGGTTTTTAAACAATTAGCTTTTACCGAAATACTTTATAGGCCAAGCGATTCATTGAATTCCCTAAGTCCGATTATCACATACCCGTATAATTAGTACTATTACTTTTAAAACTAAACTGTCTACCCCAAACATCGAATATTCATCGCTTAGTTAGACAAAACTGTAGCATTAGATCGTATGCGATTGATACACAGTCTCTGTGGGTTCGATAATCTTTTAAAACTAGAACGACTAAACTGTATACTTGCAGTTAGTATCCCGATAGACTCATAAAGTCCCGATCAAGTTTTTGGCGCCGTTGCCGGGGACTGGTAGTCAATTAATTACGATTCTTCTGTTGCGCGTTTAGACTAAGCAACAGACACCCTTTGTCGATTTGTATGCCAAGGACTCGCTCACAAGGCGAACCACTTGACAAACCGACGGACGAACCTAAACGCATTCTTTCCGTAAGACGTGCAGTCAGGGATTACTGTTTAACTCACGCTATTCCTTTACCCAAACCAGAAATCAAGATTGATTTCGAAACTGATTCTAATTCTTCCTCTGAAACCGAAACCAATCCAGAATTAGACATGGCCGAAGAACAAAGGACCCGTCCACTGAAGGAGTACGCAGCTCCATCACAACAAGAGCCCCATAACAGCATTGCTGCTCCAGCAATAAACCGAAACGATTTCGAGTTAAAGCCGTCATTGATATCAGCTATCCAACAACGCCAATTCTCTGGAGATCCTTCTGAGGATCCGAATGAACACCTTACGAAATTCGTTCAATTTGCCGACACAGTTATAGCAAATGGTATTAGTAAAGATGCTATTAGATTACGTCTTTTTCCTTTCTCACTAAGAGATAGAGCTTGGGCTTGGTTGCAATCCTTGCCATCCAATTCCGTCACTACATGGGAAGGACTGAAGATCGTATTCTTAGCACGATACTTTCCCCCAAGCAAGACCGCTGCACTAAGAGCCCAAATCAACGGATTTAGGCAGAAGGATACTGAATCATTATTCGATGCATGGGAGCGCTACAAAGATATGATGCGAATGTGCCCACATCACGGACTAGAAAAATGGCTGATAATCCACACGTTTTATAATGGACTCTTGTACAATACAAGACTATCTATAGATGCCGCCGCAGGTGGTACACTGATGGACAAGCCTTATGACGAAGCTAATCAACTCATTGAAAACATGGCTCAAAACCACTATCAGTGGGGAGGAGAAAGAACATCTGTGGAGAAAACTCAAACCAAAGGCGGGATGTACGAGATTAATAGCCTAGATAAAGTTAATGCTAAGGTAGATGCTCTTACCCAAAAGATAGAAAGCTTGACCTTACCTCCTGCAGCTACCGTAGCTGCAGTTACCCCAAGCTGCGAAGTTTGTGGAGTACCTGGTCATATTGGAACCGAGTGTCAAATCCTAGCAGGAATAACGACTGATCAGGTAAATTACGCTCAAGGAAATCCTTATGCCAATACCTATAACCCTGGTTGGAAGAACCATCCTAATTTCTCGTACAAGAGCAATAACGCTTTATATGCACCTGGCCAAGCACCTGCTGTACCTCCAGGGTATCAAAAACCCGCCGGTAATGTTCCTAACATTCCTAAGAAATCTAACCTTGAAATCCTAATGGAAAATTTTATCGCTAATCAAGCCCAACAAAACAAAGAATTCCTCAATCAAAACGTTCACACCGGTGAACAACTAAAGCTATTAGCAAACAAGGTAGATGCCCTAGCCACTCACAACAAAATGTTAGAAACCCAAATCTCCCAAGTAGCACAACACCAAGCTAGTTCTTCCGCACCTGCTGGGACATTTCCTGGACAGCCACAGCCTAATCCCAAAGGACATGCAAATGCTATTACATTAAGAAGTGGGACAGCCCTCGATGGACCGATAGATCCTAGACTCCAAAACCCGACCATGTACCAAAAGCCCGAAAAGGAAATAGAGAAGCCGAAAGATCAATCTGAAAAGGTAGAGGAAGACGCGAATGAGGATAGAGAGGCCTCAGAAAAACCATATGTGCCTCCACCACCATACAAACCACCAATTCCATACCCTCAAAGACTTGCAAAATCTAAGAATGAGGGACAATTCAAGAAATTTGTAGAACTTCTGAAACAACTAAACGTCACTATTCCATTTACGGAAGCTATAACCCAAATGTCGTCATATGCTAAATTCCTAAAAGAAATATTGGCTAATAATAAAAAAATCGTTGAAAACGAAACCGTTATGTTAACTGCCGAATGTAGCGCCATAATTCAAAATAACATGCCTCCGAAGCTAAAAGATCCTGGTAGTTTCTCCATACCATGTGTAATTGGAAAATCTGTCATAGACAAAGCTCTATGCGATTTAGGAGCCAGTGTCAGTCTAATGCCATTATCTATTTGCGAAAAGCTCAAATTAGGCGACATGAGACCTACCAAGATGTCCTTACAACTAGCCGATAGATCAGTCAAATTTCCTGTTGAAATGCTAGAAAACATTCCTGTCCGAATAGGACAATTTTACATACCGATTGACTTTATAATAATGGACATCAAGGAAGATTCAAACATTCCCATCATACTAGGAAGACCATTTTTAGCGACTGCAGGAGCCATCATTGACGTCAAGAAAGGAAAACTTACCTTTGAGGTAGGAGAAGAAAAAGTAGAATTCATTCTTTCCCAATTTTTTAAAGCCCCTGCTATAGACGACTCATGTTGTCTCCTAGATATCATTGATGAATGTGTCAAAGAACTCGAATGCCAAGAGGACACCTACTCTGAGATGCTAAAAATTCAGATACCAACTGTCCTCAAGAACGAAGATTGGAAACAAGAACACTTAGATGCCAACCTAAGCGAATGTTTAGCCCTAACACCTGATCCTGACTCAACTAATAAGAAACCCGGTATAGAACTTAAAACATTACCCGAAGATCTTAGGTATGAGTTCTTAGATAAAGAACTCGAACGACCAGTTATAGTCAATGCCGAATTAGGAGAGATCGAGACCAAAAAACTTCTTAGTGTGTTAAGGAAATATCCAACCGCGTTAGGCTATAATATCTCAGATCTCAAAGGAATAAGCCCTTCTCTCTGTATGCACCGCATAATGCTGGAGGAGGACTGCAAGACTTCTAGAGAACATCAGAGACGGATAAACACTACAAGAAAATTGGCAGATTACGACAGGTATTTTTGTAGATTACGACGGTTAAAACCGTCGCAATTTGCTTTCCACGACGGTTGCTTTACCGTCGCAGAAGTGTGTGTCCCCAACCTATTTCGCGACGGTTACAAAAACTGTCGTTCAAGTTTACGACGGGTTGATACCGTCGTGACTATCTTTTGAGTTTCTTATAATTATTGATGGCGACGGTTCGATACTGTCGTGAATATCTTTTGAAATTGATTAAATTATTTATGGCGACGGTTCGATACCGTCATGACTTTTGTTGATTATTTTTAATTGTTGATTACGACGGTTCGGTACTGTCGCCATGACTTTTGTTTATGTCTTGATTTTTTTTTATTTTTCTATTATATATATTTTTTATTTAAATTATTATCTATGTAAAAAATTTTAAATATAGTTTTTTTTTGTGTTATTTTTTTCTTTAAATTATTTCTTCTTTAATATATTTATTTATAGTATTATTTTTTGTTTTATTTTCTATCACTTTGTAATATAGTAAAAATAATTTCAATAAAAAATATTTAACATCAAATAAGCATTATAATATCCAAAAAAATGTGTGTTCCATAATCATGTAAAATGCGAGTTCCATAATCATGTAAAGTAGTACAAAAAACCCAAAATATATCAATTCCTAATCTTATAATAATAAGTATCATTATGCCAAAAATACATGAGAAAGTTCACAATCTAATTATCTCGATCATAGCAAAGTCTAATTTGTCCCCCCTGAAGTTCCATTATCTCCAATACGGTAGCTAGACTCAGATGAACGTCTACCATCAGCGGGTGATTCCAATCCCTAAAAAAAGGTATTAAAATAATAATCTTTAAAATAATACTCATAAAATTTAACTTTAAATGCGTCAAAATAATATACCTGTCTTATTGAAATCACAGATACAGTAATATCATAGCATACCGAGTTGCTAAATTAAGATTCTCTCCTATTTTAATTAAGATTCCACTTGACAAGATCACCAAAAAAGCCCCCGGAACTTGATTTCAGAAACTGGTATACTGGAGCAGTAAATGGTCCATTTACATCAACCTGTTTTACAAAACTTCATTACCTTGTCATCATGATAAAAATTTACATTCAGAAGATCAATTGTATAATCAACGTTAGTACGAATTTCTCCTCGAATTTGAATTTCCTTCAGCCCCAAAACCATATTTGCAATTGCTAAAGCCCTCGATTCTCCAAAGGCTAAAACATGTCCTGTGTTAAAACTTATGATATTAGCTGCTGAAAAAATATATATCTATACATTAAAATATCAACATGATAGCCTAGAATCTGCAATTTCTCGATCAAAGTTACTGCATACCAAATTGAGAATCTGAAAATTCATGGATTCCTCCTCCAGACTGCAAACATATAATTGCCAAAATTTAGTGCCTCGCCAATCAAATTAAAAGTACTAACAAAGAGATAGAAGATTTACCTTAACAGAGAAGTAAGCCCAAACATTTGGTTTGCTTTTAAAGCTGAGCTCCTGTAAAAATATTTTAATTCAGTATATATTATGCGATGAATGAATTAAAGATGAAATTTCTGTTGGATATAGCAGTTAACCTGCACTTTCCCGCCTGTAGGCTTAAAACCATCATCGGGGTCCTCACTAGTCACTCGCACAGCTTTACACAATGACCCTTTGGCTTTGTAGACTGTGCTTTGTCAAAATCAAAAGGGGTAGCTAAAAGTGAAGCTATACCGGGAATTTTCCAGAGAGGGATACCCATCCCAACGGCAACTTGTGCTGCTGGCAGATTTATCTCAGCTATCCATTCAGTAACAGGATGCTTAACCTATATATCAATAAATGCAAAATAACATCAGGAAATATTAGAAACATGGCAACAAAATACTAAGATAAAGTTCCTATGTCAAGGTCAGAAGGAGAAGCAATCAAGCCATAAGAGAAAAACAAATTAATTATGGTGTGCCTAAAATCAAGGTTATAGTACAACACCTGTAGACGGGGGTTCAGCTCTAAAAAGTAGTACTCGCCAGTTTCCATGCTATAAAGATACTCAACTGTAGCTGCCCCAACATAATTTACAGATATAGCTAATCTTCTAGCCGCTTGTTCAAGTTCTTTCACCGTTTCTGGGGGTGCTACAGTAATCGGACCCTCCTCAATAATCTGTTCCAGATGATTGATTATGTCATTACCGAGATTCATTCCATCGTGACAATTTGGTGTAGTAACTAGTAACAGAAAATTTTCATACCTTTTGATGCCTTCGTTGAACACTGCAATCACGGCTGTGTAAAGTTGCAACATTTCCGTACTGATCACAAATCAGTTGGACTTCAAGATGCCGGCTCTATTTAGAAGCAAGAGAGATCGTCAGGGTATGATCAAAACTCCAAAAATCAAGCTCACTCAGATCAAAGTTCAGTGGTTTATCTAACCTGGGAAGAAACTTTCATTATAAATATAGGTGATCCCGGAACTTCACCTTGAACTTGCTTGAACAATGCCCTTACCTCATCATCATTATGAACCTAAAATATCCACATGCATGTTAGTTTCTTAACTTTTACCAAACAAAACACAAAAATATGATTGGCACAAGATTATCAGCATTGATCTATGTAAGCACCGATGCTTCAGATTTAACGTGTGCCCGATTTCCGATCACTTTCATGTTCTCAAATTATTACCGGTGTCAACATGTCAGTGTCAATGTCGTATGTTTGTGTCAGTGCTTCATAGGTAGATACTATACAATTTTCTACATGTTACAGAGTTGACCATAAGGAAGCAAACCTTTCTTATGCCTTTACCACCACCACCCCAAGACGCCTTGATCATTGCAGGGTATCCAACAACTTGACAACTTGCAATTGCTTCTTCTGTTGTATAAACACATGCTGCTCGGTAGATTTCATCAGGAATAGTAATCAAGGAGCTTTCAGGAGGAATTTTCACCTGTGGAAAAATTACAAAGTCATAAGTCGGGTAACCCATACAAATGAAGTACACTACAATGGGAGAAAAACTTTACATGTGAAGCACTCCATGGAAGGGTTGGCACATTGGCTGCTTGAGCGATCAACGATGAACCAATTTTATCTCCCAATGCCCCCATAGATACTGCAGGAGGCCCAAGAAATACAATTCCTTTTGCTTTTAATGCATCTGGTAGCTCAGGATTCTCTGATGCATGACCCCAACCAGGCCATACCGCATCAACATGAGTTATCTCGGCAATCTGGAAAACACATTGCATTGCCGTCAGCAAAATTAACAAGTTATGCAGATCAAAATAATCACAATTACATAAGCACTGAAATCATTTAAATGACAAGAATAAATAAGCTGCAGTAATCTCATGAAGTCGACATCACATACCTCTAGAATAAGCTGCACATTGGCGTAGTTATTGTTATTGGTCCCACCAGGTACTTCCACAAACTGATCAGCTATTCTGATATGTTCTGCATTGATTCTCATGTCTTCTGGAGTAGCCATGGCAACCAACAAGATAGCCTTTTCCGTGCCAAACGTCTCGTAAGCCCAACTCCTAACACTGCGTATAAACTTGACAGCCGCCATTCCATTGTTCGCAATCAATATACTATGAATCGGCCTATTTCCCCCAAGGGCATTGCAGAATTCATCTACTTCAGATATTGTAGCAGTGTGCTTATTCGATACTACACCATTTATGAGTCCATTTCCATGCCCAGCACTAGCCATTATAGTTCTCTTTCTAGCTGTCTCCAATATACTACACGGTAAAAAAAAGTAGATCAGCAGAAACTCAAAGCATATAAATTTTTTTTCTTTGCTCCAATTGATATCGCTTATTCACAAACAGAAAAATTTAATGAAAATTATTCATGTAGCTTCTTATAAACATATAAACAAGTAATAGAAAAAAATCTATATTAACTTATCTTGCAAGATTGACAGAGTATAAAGAATAAAATAACAAAAAAAAATCTTAGGTTCTGTTTGGTCAACCATATATGGACTTGGTAAGAAACTCCAATTTTAAAGCACTAAAAGAGCTAAAACTGATTATGAAGGTAACTAACTCAATTTTGGCAAATCAGAGCTCTAGCCACTAAACTCTATCACAAATCCATCAATCCCAATCTCACAGCTTTCACTGCAAGATAGAAACAGCCAAACAAAGCCTAGTAGTTGAGAATCTCTCTCTCTTTCTCTCTCTTTCCATCACTTACTTTCAGATTCGGTATTATGAAGGGTCACTCTTGACAAAAATCAAAAATCAAAAATCAAAAATATGGTTGTAAACTAATGACAATATCCAATTATCCAAAAACATACAAGGTTCAATGACCAAATTTATATAAGCAACTAAGCATATAACCTGTTCAAAACCACTCTTTTTCAATAATATATGAAATAGTTATCCCCTGCAAGAGATTAGGAAGAAGTCAAACAAAAGTTTACAATTTTTTTTGCTTTTTTCAGTACGCTTCATCCAAAACCCGACATCCAGAGATTTCAAAATAAGATTACAAAACTTATTCCTTGAGCAGATAAAAAAGTGGGTTGATTTAAAGTAGCAGAAACAAGTTCAACAACAATTAAGTTCAACTACCTCAATCTTCTGTGCTTTCACAATAAGAATATCCATATTTTCCTGCAAAAACTCAGTTTAGACTTTGGATTAGAAAATAAGAATAAAAGTTACAAATTGTTTTAGACATAGAACTTAAGTTTCACATAACAAACCCTAAAATAAGTCGAAATAAATACAATACCGATTGTGCAGAGGGAAAGAATACAACAAATGTTGAAGATGTTGTATGTTGTAGGGTTTTAAATCGTTATTCCCTTCTGTCTATTTTCTTTGTGTTATTACTCGATACCCTTTCCCCTTGTGATTATGAACGCTATAACTTGTATTGCTCATTGAATCGTGAATAAATTGGGGGTTTTAGGGTTTATTGTTGGTGATTGGGTTTAATGTCGATATGAATGCTTGTTGTGATGTTTGAATCACAAAGAGCTCAACCCTAAGATTCATGTGAATCTCCAATGGTGAAATCAATGTTAAAGAATGAGAGAGATATGTGAAGATGAGAACAAAGAAAAAGTGTTATAGAAAACTTACCGGTTGGAAGATGAGAGATGTTCGAAGAATAGTGATGCAGGAGGACATTAGAATGTGGTTCAATTTTCATGAGTTGAAAAAACAAAGCAGAACCTGAAGATTGTTGGTTTTGACGTAGGACCAAACACGCATGAAACAGGTTAATCGAGAAGTCTGAGATTGACCGACGAAGTCTCTGAGAGTGGGAGGAAGGTTAACGAGATCGATCAAGTTTGCGAGCTTTTTAGGGTTATCAGTAACGGCTTTCTTCATTCGCTGAGGAAGCATTCTTCACTTCAATACACGATTTGTAATGGCTGCGAGATGGGTTTATCAAAATTCTAACTTCAGAGGAAATGTGAAACTCAATTTGTGTTTAGTTAGGATTAGGTATAAATTTAACAATAACATTGTGTTTCAACTATATATGTGAATATTATGTCAAGCTCTATGTATATACTTTAGCTCATGATAAATGATTATTTAGGTATAAACTTAAAATCATTTTTCAACATCAATTAAATCCACATATCATGTTATAAAAGTCATGTCTTTCGAGGCATAACCATAAGTTACCCTTGGTCTAGTCCTATCAGACCGTCTCGACATCTCATAGATCCTCCTCAAGCATAATACAAATATAACAAGCATTGAGAAAAAGATGAAAGATTAAATTTATTTGATTGATTAAATTGAACATAACACCATTGTCGTATCAAATTCATAGAATATATAATAATGCATAAACTTAACCTTAACAAGAGAGAACTTAAATATACATAACAATTATAATTAGATAAAATATATAAGTTAGCAAGAGATTTTTAAAGGTTTTGGGTGCGACGGTTGTTTTACCGTCGTGAAATGAATTTTAGGACGGATAATTTTACCGTCGTGAAAGGTTTAAGGGTGCGACGGGTGCTTTACCATCGTGATATGTCTTTTAGGACGGTTAATTTTACCGTCGTGACTAGTTGTTGGTGAAAAATCAATGTTAAAAGTGTTAAATGGGGGCCGACGGTTGTTTTACCATCGTAATAATAATATTATGATGGTTAAATATACCGTCGCAAAATAAATATTAGGGACGGTTGGTGTCAACTGTCGTAAACATTGTCTCTATATGTCAATTACGACAGTTATCACATAACTGTCGCAATTTTTGTGTCGTTAAACACTAATTTTCTTGTAGTGAAATCCTATCCTAAGTGAAGTCGTTAAGAAGGAAGTGCAAAAACTACTAGAGGCAGGCATCATATACCCAATATCAAATAACAACTAGGTCAGTCCAGTTCATGTGGTGCCTAAGAAGGGAGGTGTTACAGTTATAACAAATACAAAAGGCGAATCGGTAGCGCAACGTACACAAACAGGATGGAGAATGTGTATTGATTATAGGAAACTAAACAAAGCTACACGCAAAGACCATTTCCCATTACCATTCATTGATCAAATGCTCGAGCGTTTAGCCAAACATTCCCATTTCTGTTATCTTGATGGATACTCAGGATTCTTTCAAATTCCCATTCATCCTGACGATCAAGAGAAAACTACGTTCACATGTCCCTATGGTACCTTTGCATACCGGAGAATGCCATTTGGACTATGTAATGCGCCTGCAACTTTCCAATGATGATGGCGATCTTCGCAGATTTCTTAGACGGAATCATGGAAGTATTCATGGACGATTTCTCTGTCTGTGGAGAGAGTTTTGACGGATGTTTAACAAATCTTGAATTAGTACTGAAACGCTGTGTTAATGTCAACCTAGTGCTCAACTGGGAAAAATGTCACTTCATGGTGAGACAAGGAATTGTGTTGGGTCACATTGTATCAAACAGGCGGATTGAAGTTGACAAAGCAAAGATCGACATTATCAAAAACCTTCAACCACCCAAAACAGTTAGAGAAATACGAAGTTTTCTAGGACACGCGGGTTTTTACCGACGTTTCATAAAAGATTTCTCTAAAATCACCAAGCCACTAACTGAGCTATTAATGAAAGAGGTTGAGTTCATTTTCGACGATAAATGCTTGAACGCATTTGAGACACTAAAAGAGGCCTTAATATCGACACCTATTATGCAACCTCCTGATTGGAATTTACCGTTTGAAATCATGTGCGATGCGAGCGACTATGCTGTAGGCGCAGTCTTAGGACAACGCAAAGAAAAGAAGCTTCACACTATCTACTACGCAAGCAGAACGCTTGATCCCGCACAAATGAATTACGCCACTACGGAGAAGGAACTCTTAGCTGTGGTATTCGCATTGGACAAATTTCGTTCCTACTTAGTAGGCGCTAAAATCATTATTTATACGGATCATGCTGCGATCCGATACCTACTAAGCAAGAAGGACGCCAAACCGCGATTACTCAGATGGATCTTACTCTTACAAGAGTTTGACTTAGAAATAAAAGACAAAAGAGGAACTGAGAACGTGGTAGCTAACCATTTATCGAGATTAGATGGAATCCAAACCGAGAATGTTCCCATAAATGAAGATTTCCCTTATGAACGCCTCATTGCCAAACAAGAGACATACCCTACCGACAGTTCGGATCCTCATAATGAAACTTTCACAACTGCGGTAGTAGAATCCATTTGTACTAATACCACATTACCATGGTACGCTGACTTCGTCAACTATTTAGCTGCCGGTGTTTTACCACCTGATTTGACGTACCAACAGCGGAATAAATTTTTCCATGACCTTAAACACTACTTTTGGGATGAACCACTTCTCTTTAAACGAGGAGCCGATGGTATCTACCGTCGCTGCGTTCCTAATGATGAAATAAACCACGTCATTTCCCATTGTCATTCCGCCCCTTGTGGTGGACACGCTAGTACATCGAAAACCTGTGCAAAAATACTTCAAGCTGGCTTCTTTTGGCCTACCTTATGGAAAGACGTCCACGTAGCAATTATGAACTGCGATAGATGTCAACGCACAGGAAATATATCTAGATGTGACGAAATGCCGTTAAAAGGGATCCTCGAAGTAGAAGTTTTTGATGTGTGGGGAATTGATTTCATGGGACCTTTCCCCATATCCTTTGGAAATAAATATATTTTGGTCGCCGTCGACTATGTATCAAAATGGATTGAAGCCATCGCCGCACCCACAAATGACACACGTGTGGTACTAAAACTCTTCAAGAATATTATCTTCCCACGATTCGGTGTACCAAGACTAGTGATCAGCGATGGTGGCTCCCATTTTATCTCCAGAATCTTCGAAAGGTTACTTTCCAAATATGGCGTTAAACACCGCATAGCCACACCTTACCATCCTCAAACAAGTGGACAAGTGGAAGTGTCGAATAGGGAGATCAAACAGATACTTGAGAAAACCGTAGCCACATCCAGAAAAGACTGGTCCTCCAAGCTCAACGATGCTCTTTGGGCATACCAGACAGCTTTCAAAACTCCTATCGGAACAACGCCGTTCAAGTTAGTTTATGGAAAATCTTGTCATTTGCCAGTAGAATTAGAATATAAAGCTTATTGGGCGATAAAAACCCTTAACTTAAACTATAAGAGTGCTGGCGAGAAACGAGTGTTAGATATCCATGAACTGGAAGAATTGCGTTTAGACGCTTATGAAAATGCTAAAATTTATAAAG